AATTATATATAAATTAAATAATAAAATTATTAAAATTAAAATATATAATATATAATATTATATATATAGATTATATTTATTTAAATTTAATTAATATTATTTTTAAAAAAATAAATATTGTATATTTAATAATAATAGTATTATATAAAGATTATTTTATATATATATATATATATTTAATATATTATATTTATAATTTATTATATTTATTAAATTATTTAAATATATATTTAAAATTATATAAATAGATATTAAGGCCAAATCCGCATTGAGTCTGCCTCCCCCCCAATTAGTTCATATCTCAATTTCGAAGTGCCGTCTTTTAATGATGGGGTGATCCGGGCGGTGCTCATCGCGCCAACCGGAGATATTCAGCGACAGTGATGCTCCTTCCAATTATATATAGGCTTAAGCCCCTCCCAAGATCTACCAATCGTTAAATTTAGTGTTCATTTGTATGTATTATGTTGATGTTTAATGATTTTTAATCAATCGAATTTTCAATTGATTTAATTGAACATTAACTTTCCTTATTGCAATAATACCTGATGCTAGCGGATGCAATGTCAATTGCAAGAACCAGAAATCTTGCAGGAAACTCAGAGAGACCCAACCTTTACTTAAATTAACAATAATTCACATGTTTCAAGAAGAATGAACACACATATATTTTTTTCAACAACCAAAAAGAACAGTAAACTCCTACGAAAACCAGTGGCAAACGCCGCGCCGAGCGGCAAGCATGGCACCAGAAAACCCATCACCGCACATACGAAGCCGCCAACCCTGGCCACTTGGGATATCGCTGGGGATATCCCATGTATAACTGGGCTATTTCATGTGGTTACTCGGTTACTCAGTGCGACGCAGGTCTATGAAACTGTAAAAAAAATCTGAAATCTGTTTCTGGGATCAGCCATGGCAAAGTGGTAGTTCTATGGAATGTTCGGTCTGAAAATTCAAAACTGAATCATCAATTTCTGAAGTAGCCGATTTTCAAACAAACCCATTTCGGTACTTCGTGAGAGGTAATGTAAAGTGAAGAAAATTAGGAATCTGAGAGATTTCTCATGACTGAACTGAGCCACCAACTACAATGGGGACTCAACCAACTCCTGTTGAGTTCGACCGCTTACTAAGGCTTATTCACCACCACCAACCACGACTTTTCGAATGGACCAACGCGGTGAAGTAGCAACATCGCATTGGCAAAGCCATCATGGCGTGCACCAAACCAATTGTACTCGGTGACGACAAGGGCTTTGAATCCTGCGCTGGTTTCGCTGGGTCCAACGATGGTTTCGATGCCGAAGTCGAGGGGCCATGGTGAGTTGGTGCCAACTTCACAAGTTGAAGCACAAATTTCGAAGCATGAAGGTCCCCATGGGAAGAAAGCATAGCTGTAGCTATCTGTAACTTACTGCTTGATTCACTGTACAGAAGACGCTGAAAACCACTGGACATTGGAAGGGATCTTATCACCTTGACACAACCAACATCCCCGAAAACATCTGGTTTCAATTCGGCCAAAACTCGCCAAGGCAGTAGCTAAAGGAACCAAGAATGTTGGCCTTGATTTCCGGTTGGACTGCAACATCTGCACGTGTTCGGGCGTTCGACCACGGGTCGTGTCCTCCAGGTATATCGTCGACATTGAATCTGGAATGAATTCTGAAGGTGTAGTCCTGCGCAAGCGGATGGGGCCCCGAACATTTTGGGTCTACTGATTTGGAGCTTTCCGATTCGTCATCGGGGTAGCCCTAAATCATCCATCTTAGTAGGATTTTCCATTACAAACCATCCATTTTGGAGATCTCCCATTATAGGAAACCTCCATTTCGGTTTGTATACTAAATCGACCAGCTCTTGGTGGATTCACAAGCCCCCGAGAATTCGCCCTTTATCATTCGCCTTTTTTTTAACCCTTATTAACCAGTATTAACCATCATTAACCAGTATATTCACCCTTATTAACCCTTATTAACTAGTATTAATCATTATTAACCATTATTACAGCAACCATCATTAACCATCATTTACCATCATTAACCAGCATTTTGGTGATGTTTTTTTCTCACGTTTAACACCTCAGAAATCCTCTGCCTGGCCCTTCTTTAAGGTGGTGTCATCTAAGGTGCCAATCTTGTTCCAGACCTCGGCTCGTGCCACCCGCATCCCAATAGATTTCCCAGTGACCCGGCCTGGTAAACGTTTACAAAAAACCATGGAAAATCACCATGTTCAATTGTGGTAAATCCACTACAAATGGCCATTTTCGGGGGGGAAAACTATGGTAAATCACCATTTTATAGCTGGGTAAATCAACGAACGAAAAAATTGCAATTTTCGATAGCGAACTGTGAGAAATTCCCAGAGGCTACATGTCATTGCATTTCAGTACATTGAAAATTACATGTCTATACTATACCGTGTCTGAACTTCATGGATTGACCCCCAGCTTGCTATTTTCATGGGGATCTTCATGAGGGCCGAGATGAGCAGTGGAAGATGGTTGGTTACCCTCTGGAAAACTCTGCTACAGTTTGTTATGGTATAAATAGTACCGTTACTTCGTTGATTTGCCGTTTTCCACCAAAATTGTGACTGTCCATGTCGCAAACTGCTGGTTTCCCAGAGACTAGTAGGGATTACAAGTTCATGGATTACGATAAACTATATTATATATCTATAATTATATATAACATAGGGGGGGTTCCACAAATGGGGGTACCCCAATAGCTGGATGGTTTACAATGGAAAATCCCAATCTAAAATGGATGATTTGGTGGTACCCCCATTTCAGGAAACCTCCATATACATTATAAAGGGTAGGGTAATCCCCCCAACCAAAATCATCCACCAACGCGTCAACGATCATGGCCAAGCCGCTCTTGGAACTGCTGATGGACGCATCCAATTTACAAAGTCACCATCTTTCACATTCATTGCCTCGACCAAGGTCCGCAAATCGCGGACTTTTTCTAGCTGCCTCTTGATCTCACCGGAAAGTTAAAATAGTCACTTGATGTCATTTGTATCTTGAAAAATACTCAGCCACAATGGGCGATGACCCTAGCAAGCATGTCACGACTGGAATGAAGTCAGCATCCTGCTTTAAAATGGCTCGCATCAAATGGAATCATGGACCCAACCGTGAATCTCATTGTCTTCTATAGACACATCAGAACACCTCTAGTTCAAAAATCTCCACTCTCCACATGTCGGCTCAGGTGGGACCCGGCCTCGGGGACAGTTTCAGGAAAAACCTCATAGAGCCACTCTTTTTCCGGAGCTGGATAGTCCTGCCATGGCAGGTACATCCCCTGGAACTGGGCGTTCCAAATCATCCAAAAAATGGCTGAAGTGTCCATCATTTTTTTCGATTTTATGTTCCACAAAAAAACACCTCTACCACAAAAAATCCCATGGTTTATCATGGTTTATCATCACTTTTTTTTTCAAACAATGCCATCTCCTGATGCAAAAACCCCCGAAAATTGTCCGACAAAGAAATTTCCGAGCCCCGTCCGAGGAGTTGCCATATCTTCTAACATCGCTGTGCCATGCCACGTCTTCGGAGTTGATGTGCAAATTCTCCACCTGAGGTCCCGTGAAGCCTGGAACCCTGTGGGTTGGGAAACATTGAGGTTGTAGCCTTTTTTTAAGCGAGTTTAACCATTGAAAATTGAAAATATCTGGATTTAATATGATTTATATAATGGGGTATGAATGGGATACGAATGGGATACATATAGAATATATAATATTACCAACTTGACATTAAATGCCCCCAAACAAAACCCTGGTCTAGTATTGGATCTACTCGTATTTGGGGTTCTTGGGCTTTTGATATGGGGGGATGGGATTAGTAAGCATCAAGAATGGTGGCAATATGTAGATTGCGAAATGGAGATGAAAGAAACACAAGAAACACAAGGATTTCAAGCCCCTCAGCTGCTTCGATAGTGACAACAAATCCCAAACTATGTACTGGTTCGCGACGAGGGGTACAGCTAAATTCAAATTGCCACTGTTTGAAGACGCGTTTTAAGAGTCAGATTTCAATTGGACCCGTCCTTTGGGCAGGGCACAAGGGCCAACCAGTTATCAGTCGGTTTACAAAAACATTATGTATAAATCCCACCATAAATTATGGACCATAAACCCTGGTTAAGTTCGTGAACTAAAGCAGCTTAGCTATCTACAGTAGGTATCAACCAAAGTAAGCAGCAACCTGGTTGTGGCTGAGGCGCTTCAAAGGAATCGTTGAAGAGACTCTGGGCCTGCGAAAATCGCCAAATGGCGGGCAGGGAAATCCCCAAGTTCTGACAGGTTCCTGATGCCCGTCCGAATAAATCCTGGCCTAGTTGGAGTACGAAAAAAAGGCCGTGCCCCTAATTTTTCTCAAGCCCAGATTAAACCCTGGTTGATTACTTTGGGGATACCCCACCAAATAGTGATAATCTATGATCATCAGCGACTAAAATGGTACCCCCAAATTGAAAAGTCCAGGAGTCAATAAAATCCAGGGTTTTAATCATTCGGGTAAAACAATAATAAACCATCCCCCAAATCACCATAAATACGTGGTATCAACCATTCCCAAATGGGTGGTTTATTGTTGTTTTACCTACATTACTTGGGTTGATTTGAGACGACCTCCCCCCTGGCCGGTCCGAGTTACCTTCAGCCCACAAGGAACCAACTCTTTGCCATCCCTGAGCCAGCTTGGCGTTGCAAAGATCACAACTGCTGTTTTTTTGGGGGAAAAAGGAGCCAGGATTCGGCGATGGCACACAACCCTTGGTGAACATCAACATAAATGAAGTTTATTGGAGGTTTAACCCCCGAAACCATGGGGATGTCATGGGTTTTGGTCCATGAAACCACTTCAGAATTCGTGAAGACTTTCATGTTCTTTTCCTGGGAATATGTTCAACGACAGCGACAGCTCCGGGATGATAATCCCATAAAGGGTATGTTAATAACAATGATCAACCAACACAAGGTGGGGCCCCCAGTTGGTTGAAAAAAAACAGGAACTCCGCTGTTTTCGGGGGCCTCACTAGCAAGATATTCTCATGACCTGATTCTGTTGGTGAAAAATTCCCATCCAAATCCCGATGTTCTCATTAAATCCCAGTCCATTAGATTCTCAACATGTCCCTTTAAAAAAAAACATGGACTCCCCATGTTGGTTAAATCAGCATGTCCAGCCAAGTTCTTGTGCCGTGCCATGTCGTCTTTTGTTCAAGCGAGGCGCCGTATTCTCACACGTTCAGGACACCGAGACTCCCGCTTTCCGGGAGGTACCTGGCCGAGGCAGGGGGTTCACTTGAGGTAAAAAAAAACGGATGTATCAATGGATTGGTTTAAGGGAAAATTAAAACCGGAAAACCCCGGTCATGAGAAAAACCTAGGAAAAACCATGGGTTTCATCTAGAATCTAGATTTTCCAAAAAAAACAATCCTTTGAATGTAACCCTGATAACCTCCGGTAAGTTGCGGTAGAACGCCTATAACTCATGGTTGTTTTTTCCACTTGTAACTGGAACCACACCCCAAGTAGCGTTCCGTCCAAATCCGGAAGCTGATTATCGTTACCACTGAAATGTCCATAAATTGGGATCCCCATTTCTGGACGAACCCAAAATATCGTCATTGGTTTGTTGCGAAAATAAATGGGAAATATGCTTCATCCATGACATGGGATAAAAATGATGGTTCATTTCTGGGATATAAATCCCAAAAATTGACCAAAAAAACTCATGAATTCATCATGTCACCCCAATCCACTCCCTTGCCATAGCCATCTGATAAAGACCACCTCCCGGCCGTAGAGCTCTTCGTAGACTTCTGACTTCCTGATCCCAGGGCGGCAGAGCATTTGGAAGTCGATTGGGAATTGGGGGTAGCGGCTACGCCCATGTTCTGACCAACCCAAGTGGTTACCAAATGGCTGGCACATGAATTACCAAAGATCTCATTGCAACAGAGCAATCAGTGTATCAATGGATTGGTTTAAGGGAAATTTTACAGGAAAGAACCATATGTAATGGGAAAATCTATGGTTTCCTGTAGATTTCCCCTGAAATCAATCCATTGAGTGTAGCATTCAAGAAGCACCCGTTGGAAAACTTGGAACTCCGTTTCAAGCATCCAGAACCTGAAATGACATGTCCTCGATGCCAACTTCGAACTACATCACAGAATGTGTAGCGCTCTGGTAACCTCCTCCTCCTCCTACTACTACTACTACGACTACTACTACTACTACTGCTACTAGCACTATTATTACTATTATTACTCGTTACTACTACTGAATCTTGACGATAACTTCCAGGTGCGTCCAAGATACATGTAGTAGTTGTAGTTCTGGTATATCGGACCTTCACATGCGCTCAGAATCGCTGGGCAGCAGGACACAGAGCGTTCTTACGATTCAAACGATGCCAGGTTTGATCATGGTTGAAGGTTATATCATGTCAATATGTATATATACATATATATATAATTATTAATACATATATATATATAGATAATAAGTAACATGTATAATATACTGGATCAACAAGTTCCCTTGCTGCGCAACGTCCCGTCCACGACCATTCGCCGACCGCTTCGCAGGGTTCCCAGGTGAGTCCGGATCGCCGGGCCTACGGTGTAAATCAGCAAAGGATTGACGATGTCAAAGGGCATCGTCACCACTTTCCTTGTCTTGGCGTCAGTTGGGGGGGTTGGAGTTGCACAACTGTACGATTCAATCGATTGAAACGTTCAGTGTAATGTGGTTAAAACAATAATAAACTTCCCATTTGGGAATGTTTTACACCACCTATTTATGGTGATTTGGAGGATGGTTTATTATTCTTCTTCCCACATTATACTAAATATGGGTCAAAGAGTGTCTCAGAATGCCATGGCTTAGCCTCCAACTAAGGCCCTGCCAAAAAGGCAGGGGAAAGATTACTCTCCTCTGGGGATCAGAACCCTGGCGAATGTTGGATCTATTCTGGTTGGTGGTTTCAACCCTCTGAAAATGTTCGTAACCACCAATCAGTATTTCTATTTATGACTTGGGGGCCGAATTGCAGGGTATTTGATCTGATCGGGGGAAGTGTTTACAAACTTTCAATCATTATCAACAGTATGAACCATTACTAAGCCTTAAATCCTTAAATAAGCCATCCAATAATTACCAAAATGAACAGAATGCAAGCATCATGATGATCCGCTCGCGATGCGCCCTGTTCGCGAGTAGGCCTTCCTTGTAGTCCAGAGGATCCGTGGCGTTGATAATCTCCTGATGTTTTGGTGAGTGGCCTGCAACAAATACTAATGTGGTACACGGCACACTCAACAAAAAAAAACAATTCGATACCCTGGGTCGAACTAACATAGATGTGGAAAACCCCACAGGGAAACCCTAGTAAAATAGTGTGGAAATGCTGGGGTGTTCCGCATCTGCGTTAGTTTTCAGGGGGGCAATACACCCGATAATGGTTGATAAATGTTGATAATGACTAGCTCATAGTCGGTATTCATCGTGGATAGCCAGTAGTCCCACCCGCCCAATATTAAATACCAATGTTGGGGCCCCAAAATGAATAGTTCGTACACTAAACCAGGGCTTCTGTGCTATGTTTGCTATTAGTCTTCCAATCAGCCAATTTTCAAGCACAAATCTCCATTGAAAAATCATGGGTAGTATTTACCTCCAAGATTGTTTCAATGAATCCAGAATCCCTCCAGACTTGACACACTGAATGAAGCACTCCACGGTTCAGAAAGCTCTGGTAACCTTGGATAGTTACCCCTATCTGGCGACGTCGCCACGTCGCGACAGTGCCGTCCTCTGGTCTGGTACCCAGCGGGTACGTCAAGAATAGGTCCTTGAAAACGCTCAAGAATAGGGTAAGAAAAGAAATCAACATCAGCGACATGTTTCGTGCAAGAATTTCGAGCCAAGAAAAAAATTGGGCAAAGGATACCCCCTTAAATTCGATGGTTTGAAACCTTATTTTCTCCATAATGTGATGGGCATAACTATGGGTCCCTCATTTTCAGGTACCAAACCCATTGAAGCCTCCAATACCTGAGAGAGTGAAGAAGCAAACTCAATCATCCTTGGGAAATTATATCAAGAATATGTCACAAAGCCTGATACATGTTGTATGATAAAGGCAATCTGATTTAAAAAAAAACTTGCCACTTGGATTTGGTCGGCAAATTTAGGGTTTCCCCCTGTTTTTTGAATGGTGAATCATCTGTTTTTCCAACCTCCATCCAGCTGCTTCCGTGTAGGCCATTGAGATATCTCTCCTCGATGCCGACAGGGGGAAGGTAGCCTCCTTTTCCAAAAAGATGTGGAGTTGACCCACCATGTGTCAATCATCATGTTTCAAACGGGAATCCCACCATGGGTTGTCCAGATCTTCGTTTACCCCAAAGGGTCCCAGGGGAATATGATCTAATGTTCACCTATGATTTATCAATAGGGGGGCCCCCCCCCCCCTCTCTGACCCTAAATAAACTTAAGGCCACCATAAAACTTGTTTGTATGTAAAGGTTTTAAATTACCACAATTGAAAACGAATACATAAAATGCAATTTCAAAAAAAAAGGAATCCAGCAATTGTTTTAGTATTGATCTAGTACTCATGTCATGGATTTAGTATTGATTTAGTATTCATTTCATGGATTTAGTATTGATTTAGTATTCATTTCATGGATTTAGTATTGATTTAGTATTCATCTCATGGATTTAGTATTGATTTAGTATTCATGTCATGGATTTAGTATTGATTTAGTATTCATGTCATGGATTTAGTATTGATTTAGATTTAGTATTCATGCCATGGATTTAGCATTGATTTAGTATTCATCCACATGAGCCCCATCAGCCACACCAGCCATCAACAGCCATCAGCAGCCATCAGGACAGCAGGATCAGCACAATCAGGTGGTACATTAGGTCCATGTGCTGCTGCTGCTGCCAGCTGTTGCTGCTGGTGGTGGTGGTGGTGGTGGTGGTGGTGGTTGTGCTGGGGCTGATCCCCTTCAGCCCTGGCATCACCCTGCAGGATCAGATTTGGATCAGATTCTGCATCCACCAGAGAAGAAGAAGGAAGATAAAGTGAAGGAAGATGAAGTGAAGGAAGCTGAAGGGAAGGAAGATGAAGGGAAGGAAGCTGAAGGGAAGGAAGATTAAGAACAATGAGTAGTTGGGGATCAGTTTCACATGAGGTTTCCATTAGGCAGACCAGTTTCACATTAGCCTCACATGAGCATTTTGCTCACACATTGGAGTTTCAGATCAGTTTGACATGATGTTTCCATTAAGCAAACCCATTTTACATATAAGATTCACATGAGCACTTTGCTCAGAATTAGAGATCAGATCAGTTTCATATGAGCTTCACATGAGCATTTTGCTCATATAGTTTCAGATCAGTTTCACATGAGTTTTCCATTGACCAGTTTCACATAAGTCTCACATGAGCATTTTGCTCAGAATTAGAGTTTCAGATGGTGGTGGGGAAATGGCAGAACTGTGATGGGATTGCATGAGTAGGGGCATCCAGGGGGATAGGATTGAGAAGGATTTGATAGGAGGAGAGGATTGAGAAGAAATTGATAGGAGGATAGGATTGATCATGCAGCCTTCCATGTAGCTTCCCATGCAGCCATCCATACAGTCCTCTATGCAGCTGCTATCAGCATCAGATCAGAGTAGTGATCAGCATCCATATCGAGACAGCAATCAGTTGCCATCAGTTCCTTGAATGAAATGCACATTTTTTTGTAGTCCATGGGTGCATGAATATTTTTTTTTGACTCCAGAGGTGCATTTTTTTGGAATCTATTTGTAGTTGCTTTCAGGCTGGGGATGAAGCAGGATCAGCGCCTTGCAGTGATCTTTGCAGTTGCTGTGCTTGCAGCTGGCATTGGTGGAGCCTACATCAGTGAGGCTAAGATCCAGATGCAGAATCTGAAGGCAGTGATGATCAGTGATGGCATGGAGATGGTGCCTGGGCTAAATCAATTTGAACATGTGCATGTTGATATGACATAATGATACCAAAAGGGGATGACAATTCCATCAATCATGATATATATATATATACATATGTGAGTATAATTATGTATGTACATATAATTATATATATATGTAATTATTTAAATACATCAACCATAATATAAATAATGATATGGGTATATGTATATATATATATATGTAATTACATGCACACTTCTGCATGTAACTATATATTCACATTGAGCCAGCCAGTTCTGCAGGTGAAGGTGGCATTCATGCTCTTCATTGTGTGGAAGATGCAGAAGATCCAGAGCCTGATGAAGTCCATGGATGATTCAGCATGGACATGTGCCCAAAAGTGCAACTACATGGAGAGACGAGCCTGGGTGAAAAAAGCAGTGGTGCTTATAAATATATATTTATATACATATAATTATATACATAATTATATCTTTATATATATATATATATATTTACATGAATATATAGATATATTATACATATATATATACATATATATATACACATGTTTATATATGTATATCTATATATAATTATATATATATAAACAATAATGTGGTTAATTAGTATTAATTAGGTATACTTTTCAAACTTAACCCCCATTTGTTTTCATGTTTATTTCTTTTTTGTTGCTGGGGGCTTTGAGCAACCATCAGGAATGGAGAAACAAGGATCACAATTCAGTGATACCATGAGGCACATGAGTAACATCCTGGAGACGACCTTTGGAATGATTAATTAGATGGTAGCTTTTTGTTTGGATTTTGTTTTTGTTTGGTTCTGTTTCTGTTTTGTTCAATTAGGCTTGCATGTGTTTTGCATAAGTGGCCTGCTTACAAGCAAATCAGGTATGATGAGCAGAAGGGTGATTCAGCAATTCTGGAGCAGATGATTGCCAATCAGAAGCCCAGATTCAAGCTGGGGTCGACAAGCCACCCAGCTGTAGTTCAAAGGGTTTAGAGTGGGTTTAGAATGCACATGTCATTTACCATCAGTGCAAACAATTAAATACATGTGCATTACATTTGCATTACATGTGCATTACATTTGCATTACATGTGCATGACAACATTTGCATTACATTTGCATTACATTTGCATTAAATGTGCATTACATGTGCATTACATTTGCACTACATTTGCATTTGATTTGCATTACATGTGCATTACATTGGCATTACATTTACATTACATTTGCATTAATCTACATGGATCTAATCTACATGTTTTAATTACATGTTGGGGACTTGGGGCACTTCCTGCCATCACTTAGGTGAGACCTATGCAGCAGAGTGGGACATGACCATCAGGACATGCCTGCTCAATGCCAAGCTGCAGACCCAGCAGCTTAGATGCAGCAATTGTGGGGATCATGCACATGCATGCATGTCTATAGATATATAATTAGATCATTGTATGAAAATATATATAATTATATACACATGTATATATATGTATATATATATATGTATGTATATACAATTATATTTATGTATATATATACACATGTATATATGTATATGTTTAAAATTATATGTATGTATATATATGCATATACACACATACACATATACATATATATATATATATACATATATATATATACATGTATACAATTATATGTAATTATATATATGTATACATTTATATATGTATAAATTATGTATATATATATATATATATCAGCCTAAGTTTAGGCATGCAGAATTCCATGAGTGTGCCCATCAGGTATCAGCAGCTCATCAGGAAGGTATGCAGCAAGGATGCAGATGAAGCAACTTCAAAGCAACTCAACCCAATCAGTGGGGGCTGGGGAGGGGGAAGCACCATCAACCACCATCCAAGCATGCATGGCCCAGGTATGAAGAGATCATGAAGAAGAATGCCAACCGAGATGAGTGGGTGATGAGCCAGCATCATCCAGCAGCTAGTCATGCATCTAGAGTGAAAACCATCTTGGATTCAGAGGTTTTGATTTACATTCTTTCTGATTTTAAGCTGATCAAGCTGATCAAACTCAATCACTTTCTTGGGAGATGTTGATTTCAATTGTTCATTTTTTTGCATCCTCAGGACCAGGATGATGCAGATCTCTTGTCCATGTGCCCTCCATGGAGCAACCTCAAGATGACCTATGGCAACATCAGGGCCAGGTACGATCAGCTGCAGATACTTGGCAGCCAATCAGTTGTCAGGTAATTAGTAATAAGGTTGCATCAGGTAATTAGTAATTACTGTAATTAGATTTTGTTCCTTTGACCCATTTTTTTCCTTCCCATCAGCTTTCATGACCAGCCAGCCACCAGACCATCATCAGCCACCACCAGCCACCACCAGCCACCACCATCACAAGCCATCAGGAAGTTGTATGAGCACTTCAAGGTGGAGATGAGCCCATGGGAGATGAAGGTTCCATCCAAGCGCAGCTGGGACATTGAGAGGGAGATTGAGAAGATTAAGGGATTGACCCTTGGTTTCAATTAGTGTTGAAAGCAATGATCAAGAGATAGATCTATATGAAAATATAATCAAGTGTATACTTATAAATACTATGTATGAGTATACAGCTACATGTAAATATACAAGCATATAGTCCAACAAACACACATAATTTCACATATATATATATATATACACATTTATGTGTACACATTTCTTGATTTATACTTGTGTTTAATTATGTATATATGCATGTACTTTTGCACATAATTACATGTATTTACACATGTATATATAAGTATATATATATATATGTACATGTACTTGTGCATATATTTATCTGCAGTTATGTATAATTATAATTACATAATTCTCTTCACATATGCATGCACATCTATGTATACTTATATGGCACCTCATTGCCCCCAGGAGAGGAGATCCCAAATGAGGGTGGCATGAGAGGCATCAGCCCTAGATAGAGACTGCTGTGAAGCTCTATTTGAAGCTTCCTGGACCTTGCCAAAAGGTTTGCAGCTTCCTGTGGGTGGGGGCATGGCCATGGAAGATGAGTTGAAGATGAGATGTAATTAGGTAAGATACACATGGTTGCAAAATATATACATCAAACACATAAGGTGCAGGTAAATTGCATTGATGGTAAGCCACATTTAGTGTAAATCAAAGTTAGAAGATGATTGAGCTTGATCAGCTTGAGTTCAACTTGGGCATGAGCAAAACCATGCTTGTGTTTTTGCAGTGCTGAAGATTTCAGCTTCAACAAAATGTAGACTTTTTGATGCATTCACTACAAAGCTATAGCACAC